AACAAATTATCCGAGCATTTACAATATTAGTTATGATCACTGCCCCATGGCAGACAATAAACCAATACTTCACTAGATTATCTTAGGTTTATCGGCTTGTGCCTAATTCCTACCAGCAATTGTATGAATAATGTAGTACATCGCAGTGATTTCTGTGAGCATTATACGATACCTGCGGGTTTTTAAGGGGGGGGGGTAGCGCATATATATATATATATATATATAGAGCCTACATACACTTGAACTTCAAGCGCACATCTCGGGCTATTCTGCCATTCTTCTGCACCGGATCAGAACATGTCGGGTCACCTCAGCGCATGCAGTGAGCACTTGTTTGTTTCAGCCGTCATACCAAGATGCTGTGCATCTCGTCGGCAGGAATCACTGCCTCCTCGGCCTCCACGAAGCGCAGCCACTCTGCCCAGATGGAGCCGTCAGCCTGTCGCAGCGTCTCCGCATCAGCGAAGACCACCAGCCCTCGCCGCGCCCGCGTCAGGGCGACGTTCGCCCGGCGAGTGTCCTGAAGGAAGCCGAGGCGGCCCTCCCTATTCGAGCGGACGGCAGAGAAGACGACCAGGTCGGCTTCTGCTCCCTGGAAGCCGTCCACTGTGGAGACTCGCACCTCCTTGAGCTCCGGAACGCCTCGCAGCCTTCCTTGGAGGAGCTCCTTCTGTTGCAGGTACGGTGTGAGGACCACCACCTCCTCGGTGGCCACAGACCCCGGGCCCGATTGGTTCCGCTGGTTCGGGTCGAGTAGGTGCCTGAGGAATCTTACGACGGCATCCGCCTCAGCTGCATTCCGCCAGGAGGTGCCCTGCTGCTCTTCGCAGTGGCCTGCTTGGCCCTTGCAGTCCACCAGCCAAAGGCGGAAGTCGCCGGACTGCGGCCACTTCACACCTCGGATCGGTGCCCGACCTGGGGCCTTGTCATGCACGAGGCCCCGGTAGAAGTAGAGATTTGGGAAGCGCGCGATGCTCGGATGCATTCGTCGCTGCTCGTTCAGCAAGACCGGCACAGCGATAGCATCCACTTCGGGCTGGCTCTCGTCCTCCTCAGCCAAGCGGGCAAAGAGCGATTTGTCCAGGCCTAAGCGTTTCGCATCGTCTGAAACGACTGTGGGAGGCAGCTGCCTGTGGTCGCCGATCAAGACCAAGTGCTCACACCCAACACTCATCGGCAAGAGCGTGGTGGGCTCCACTGACTGCGTACTTTCATCAATCAAGACGCGTGGAAACGTCTGCCCCTGAAGCAAGTTATGCCCGGCACCGGCACACGTCGTCACCACAACCTGGAAGCTGTTTAGCGCATCCTGGGCAAACAACATGCGCTCGTAAGCCGTCATCTTCGACTCCTCCTGTTCCGCCGGGGCGAAACGATAAGCCTTGATCCCCCACTTTGCAAGGCTCTTGTGCAGATTGTCCGCCGCAACGTTGGAGTCGGCAGCACAGAGTATGCGGTCCCCGAGCCACCTCCAGGCCATGACCACACAGGCGGCAGCTGTGGTCTTGCCGGTGCCCGGTGGGCCGTGGATCAGCGTCACCCGTCGTTGCAGGGCGGATCTCACAGCCTCCAACTGGGCCTCCGTCAGATCGCACCCGAGCCTCGCCGCAGTGTCCACGATGCTCCCAATGCGACGAAGAGGCGCCTCGTCCTGGCAGCCTGGCGGTGCCGAGGCCGCTGCCTCTTTCGAGGCCTTCCTCCCCTCTGCCCGAAAGCTCTGTACGACGATTCGCGTCATCTCCGGGAGCAGCCGCACATCCTGCGCCACTCTCTCTTCCCTTGGAACGTGAGGGTCGGCTGCTGCCCAGACCGCCTGGATGCAGCGCAATGCCGTGACCTCGGATTCCAAGCCGAAGACGTCGAAAAGCTCCTCCTCCACGTCCTCCCCCAAAGTACCGCAGCGGAGGTTCAAGCGCTGCTTTCCTCGCTCCTTGCCCAAGGAGGCGATCACGGCCAGGTGCCCAGAGGACTCGCTGGGCAGGCGGCCCTGTGACAGAGTTGGCCTCAGGTACCTCAACGCAAGGAATGTGCCCCAGCCGGAAACTCACCTCTTTATAGGACACCATGGCACTGCGACTTAATGAAAACAAATCGAAAGCCTCGTGAAAGAGCATGCAAGCAATACAGCAACTCTAGCTGATGCTGCTAGTCCTTTTACGAGTCGTAGGTATACCCGTGGGACGGTACTGAACAAGAAACTGCATTGCGACTACAGCAGTTAGGCTGCACCACATCCCCAGCGCGCATGCCGCTGAGCATGGCTACCTGGTCCTCGAACCACTCGGCGAGAACCAAAGTGATGTAAGGGAGGACACAGCTCTGCTGCAGCATTCGCAGGCATGGCACGCCGCTTTGCGCCCGGAGCTCATCGATCATGGCCTGATTGGCTCCCACCCTCTCCAAGGCCGTCAGCATGCGGAAATGCTCGAAGTAGTCCTTGTGCGCTGCAGACGCGAAGCGGGACGCATCCAGAGAGGCCCCTCGCAAGAGCTTCAGGGCCTCCACGGCCGTGCTGCCGCAGGCCACGTGAGCCGCGGCATCCAGGAGGGACTCCCAGAGCTTGGGGGCCAAACCCTGCACGGCGAGGTTGCCCCTCACAGCTTCCCCGAGCTTTCCTAGACCTTCCCGGTCCCTCTGCGCCAAGCAGAGCTGCCAGGCATCCAGCAGGCAGAGGCTCCAGTAGGCCGGTGGCCAGGAGGCCAGGAAGTCTGCAGCTGAAGCTGCAGCTTTCGCGCTGCCACCGCGTGCCAGGGAGCGGACGCTTCCCGCAGCGTTCAGAGCCACGGGATCCAAGGCGCTACCGACGGACTGTTGGGCCAACATGCCCCGGATGGCCTCGCCCTTTGCTTGGCGCTTCGTGGTCCCTAAGCCAACAGAAACGGCCCTGCGCTGCTCCCCGTTCGGGTCTTGCCACTCCCATTGCAGCGTGCAATGCTGGCCAGCCTCGTGCGTTGTCACCTCGTCCAATGCCTGGATCCGCAGGCGCTGGATGATCGCGTTGTGCCGAACGGCAAGCTCCGCTGCAGCCTCCGAGCTCAAGATGGACATCCCGGCCTGCAAGCTATCGCGCCTTTGTTGTGCTGCATCCTCCAGTTGCTGCTGCACGGCTCGGTTTCGCTGCTCCTGGGTCGCTTGCACCACGCTCGCTTGAAGCGACTTCCGTCCGGCTGCTTGCAGGTACAAGCTCTCCCAGGCCTGTTTTTGTGCCTCCTCATGGGTGCCCTCAGCTGAAGCCGACAGCTCCAGGGGAGGCCTTCCCTGCGGCTGCGGCACGCGCCAGACCACCCGATAAACCTTGCTGCTCGCCTCGCCCGAGAGACCGTCCTGGAGGACTTCGGCGGACAGCTTGTAGCGCAGGCCCTGCAGCATCTGCTTCCGCATCTGCAACTCCGCCTCCGGCCCCACCGGCAGGCCCTGCAGCAGGCGCCGCGCCGCCTCGCGCCGTGCCGCCTGCCACAACACATCGGCGACAAAGATATAACTCTACGAAAATCATCGAAAATCCTTGACAAAGCCTACAGCTACAGAGGGCCCTACAGAGACCCCCCCCACACACACACACACACATGCGAGCTTTATGTTCTTCTGCTACAAGAGGGGCCAGGGCCGCCTTTTTGCTGCTTGCCATCCCGGAGCCACTCCGCTGCTGGCCCGGGAGCTGCCAGGTGATGTCCACCTGCTGACGCCCAGCTCGCAGCCTTGCCTCCTCCTGTTAAAACAAAAGGCCACTATTTTATGCATCTCTTTTGGGAGGCTACAGTATAGGGCTTTCATAATAATCTATAGGGTGTATGTACCAGAGTCTCCGTCTGTCTCTACCTACCCAAAACATCCGCCCAATCTCTTCCAACTGCAGCTGCATTTGAAGCCGCAGGTCTCCTTGACCTGGGGCCGCAGCTGCACGCGCTGGATTGCGTAGAGGTACCTTCGAACCGCCAGAGCTCGAATGCTAAGTCGGAGCAAGCTGTCGGGGAGTCTGGTGCTTGGCCACACGAAGAGAGACTACCAGTACTACCCAACAAAAATGATGACGGTGGTGTTCGTGCCGCGAAAGCCTGTACATACTACATAATGTGACAGACAGACATACATACATACATACCAACACCTACTACATTCAGTCCAATACAACACAGGTGCAAGTCGCCAAGTTGAAACAGCACACTGAATGTTGGAAGAGGTGCAGCACGTTCTCTTCGTCCCAGTAATGCTCCCGGAAGCTCTGCTCCTCAGCCGGGGCCCGGGGAGACCAGCGCATCGCGGGCTTCGAGACTCCGGCATCCAGCGCTCCTCCGAATGACCTGATCAGGGGTATGGCGTTTTGAGCTTGGTATTCAGGTTTTGAAGTTTGAAGGTTTAGAGTTTAGGCCCCATGCACCTGACATCCCTATCATCCTGTCGGTTTGCCCTGAAAGCCCCGAAACTCCCACTCATGAACAGTATACGACCCGGCCCTGCGTCAAAACTCCAAACCCCCGAAGCCCCCCACGAGTTCGCATACTAGTGGTGCTAGCGCTTTCATTCACTTGTTGTCGAAGGCATATCTGATTTTTTTGCGGACTACAATGGAACACTCCTCTTGTCTTGTCTTTGCAGGCTGAGGCCTCGCCCCTCTGGCCCCCGCTCTCGCCCTCATCGCGACCAGGGCCGAAGCCAGCGAAGTGTGGCGCCGCAGGGAGCCCAAGGCCAAGGAGGGCGAGGGAAGGGCGAACATGGCTCGGCGGGGAATTCTCGGGCCTTGTTGGGGGTAGAGGTCTAAGCCACGTCTAAGTCCAGGCATTTGGGTGACTTCGAGCTGTAGAGAACCAAATCTTGGGACTTCGAGAGTTTAGAGTTTTGGGGCGGTTGAGTTTGAGGGTCAGGGCTGGTGCTTTGGGCTCTCGGCTTTGGACCGTGAGGGCCCCTTGACATTTCCTTTTGCAGTTCATGATGTAAGGCAGTGTAAGGCTAAGTACAAGCGAGTTGCAAGCCTTTAGGATTCCTAAGCTGCACATGATTTGGGATACACGAACTGTCTAGGTAGGGGATTCTTGGTTTGGGGCTCGGCAATGCTTCCCAAGAGCTCATGACAAGTCAAGACGGGCCGGGGTGTGGGAAGGGATCTAAGCTTTGGTTCTCAGAACTGACAGATGCTAGCAATGGGTTCAAGGCTACGGGATTTGGGCTGATAGCCTTTACAACTCTTTCTCGCTCGTGTGAATGAGCCGTGCGTTCACCGCAATGATCTGCACTCCCCTCCCCCGCTCCTCAATGTGGATGCCTGCGGCACCGCTCTCGATGAACATCTTCGCAAGCTTCATGGTGGCGGTGATGCCGCCATGGCCGGTGTCCGCATCCGCGATGATGGGGTTCATGTAGTCCTCGGATGTGTTAGCACCATATGCAAGGACAAGGATCCCGGCCATATGGCCTGCCCTGAGCGCCTGCGAAGTCGGCTAGAAAACACGGAACCCAAACGCCAACTCCGACGCCGGGGCTCGACAACGGGCGCCTTGGAGCGCTCGTCGGGCGACATGCGCCTGCGCTCCTCGTACCTCAGACGAAACGAGCCCCCCTGAGAGCTGCTCTCCACACCGAAGCGACGGAGCCGCGAGCTCCCCCAAACTCTTTTTGCATCCAGGCCTATTGCAACTGCCGGGTAGCCCTGAAGAAGAAAGGAAACTGAAGGGGGGGACTCTGAATCCTAAAAAGACTGAACTCGGAGACTCCTCCCAAAACGAAGCCTCGGCCAGGGGCTTAGAATCTTAGAATGCCCTTCTGGGCCCCTGCATCCTGAAAGCTCGGAAACCTTGCAAAAGTAGAATCATCTGTAGCAAGTTACAAAATCTTGCGGATACAGCAACCTACAGAGAACATCGTGTCCGCAGCCAAGCTGCTGCTTGCGGTCATGGAAGAGCTGGGCACGGAAGAGCTGGTCTACCTGGGAATAATGCCGAGTGTGTTTAGTAAGTTTAGTGCTATATGCTCTCGCAACTCGGACACTGCCAGACGAGGTTCATCGATGCGCAGACTCACAACCGGACTACACTACAGGTTCGGGATCAGTTCAACACGACAGAACTCGATGAAAGGATGCCGATTGCTTGGCCGGACTGGAACTGATCGGACGACAGACGGTCGTGTGACCTACCCGAAATAGGGATAGTTAGTGCTTTGGGACTTCGTTTTCGGATGTCTAAAGCTCCAAGGTTTTAGGGCGTTCTTTCCTATCGGGATTCCCATGGCGAATGGGGATTTGGGCATATTATATATTGTAGCATAGTTATGGCGAGTATAGGATGATATTGGGCGCTTTCGGGGTTAGACATTTGGGCGCTGGGGCTTGGAGCTCAGGTTCGAAATCTAAGTTCGGTGACAGGGCGGGGTTTCGACGCTGAGGTTCTAAGGGTGCTCCCTGCCTGAGCTCCGGCTTCATTCTCAGTCCCTACAATCAAGATGACTGTGGGGTCTGGCAGTTGCCTGGCACTCCAATCCAAGCACCTTCGGCGCTTACAACTCGAGAGGGGGGAGGGTTGAGAAAATGATCGAGACGGCTCGACGGATGCAGCCCGCCATGATTCCACAGACAACTGCAGGCTGAGGCTTAGGCCTTGTTGGGCACGGTGTCGTAGGGGTAGTCTGCCACGTCCGGACCCGGCTCGTTGGAGGTAGATGCCGTGGAAGAGCACCTGCGCGGCTGCGGTCAAGGGTGCAGGGTGTAGAGTCTTTTTGACTTTTGACACCTAGACTCGGACATGTCCGCAGGGTTGAGTTGCGGGTTGAGGGTGCTAGGCCTTTTGAGTTTCCCTTGGCGAAGCTCTGGCTAGCTGCTAGCTCAAAATCTACAGAAAGTGTCACATGACTCGATAGTGGGGCACTGCCATCCGCTGACGTACACCGAGGTCAGGTACTTGGCCATCTGCGTCACCTGTGACAGAGTCACCTATCTGAGGCTTTTTTGTTCTAACACTAACACTAGGTCTCTCAACTTGATCAACTTAGACATGCCGGGCGAGGTGTCTAGGTTGTTTGCTTCGGAGTCGTGAGATGAGGCTTACGGTTCGCAGTCGGCAATGAAGCGGCATGAACTGCAGGATTTCGGGTTTAGGGCGTTTTTGTGCCGGCTCTTGCCACTCGCACGAGTTGAGGGAATCAGTGTCATTGACCTGAGACCGTGAGTGTCTGAGATGACCGTCCCCAGACACGACCTGCCCTCGGTGCACCGATGCCTCCAACCCGTCAACTCATCCCAGAGATAGGGTCGAACTGAACATTCGTAATATCAGTCCCTGGCCTTTGCACTCGAACCAGGGCCTCTGAGCCTAAGACTTGATAGCAGAATATCGCAAGTCCCAATCTGACATTGCTCCCAGCCCTCTCTTCGTGCCTGAACGGTGTCGAGGGCTCCGAAAGTGTGGGAGCAGGTTCCCTTGGCCTCCAAACGGAGAAAGTCTCGATCAAAAGCCTTTCGAAAACAGCTCTGTTGCTACTTGTGCTCCCCTGGCTACTGCCAGGATCACTAGTTGCCAGGCCCTTGATGTACGAATTTAACCTAAAACCTAAACACCGAAGCAAAGCACGTCAAGCAAGCTCTCAGTACAACTGTCTCAAAAGCTGAATAAAGCTCAGGTTCATGCTTTGCACGATACGAAAGTATTCTGCAAATACGGAATTGACAAGACGCTCAAGTGGCAGAAGCAAGTAGCTGGACACTACGGGTGCTGCGAGCCGTGCATGCAGCTCCCTCACCGAAACGAAAACTACGGGGAACCTGGGCTGCGTCACAGTGCGACTGATGCTCAAGCAGAGACACTCTACTAAGATGAAAGCTGCTCCAGAGACCATGAGCTGCCTGGTGGTCCCGGAGCATCTTGTAGAGCTTGTCAGAGACTTTGGCGCCGTTGAAGTACATGGGCATGGTGCCCTGGAGCTTCACCACCTCCTCCACCTGAAGCGTTCGAAAAGATGCGGGTCTCTCAACCGGAAATACATGGCGTGAAACATGCTGTGACGCTCAGAAGAAGCTGGGACAACGTACATGGCTCAACAACACAGGCAAACTCACATCACGACCGTCCGGTTTTGCACAGGCGAGTATCTGTCCTACATCCGCTTCTGATATCAACTTGATGTCAAAAAGTGGGCCTTTCGAAACTTCGCACTGTGCTTTCCGGGCCCTTAGGCCGCGGCCCACCCCTACAAAAGCTCTAAACGCTTTGCCTTGTAGGGGCGGGTGGTGTGCTTGAAGCGCTCCGAACCCATCCTCGGATCCGAACTCTCTAATCTGTCCTCTCGGCTCTATTTCTCGCTGAGGGTATGCCTAGACGACTATCTTAGGAGCAGCCCTCGAAAGCCCTCTCAAGCCTCGGGACTTGAACCCAAAGCCTCAGCTCTGCCAAGCGACCCGAAACCCGAAGTAACGGCCCTGTGAACTCCTCGAGGCCCTATCGCGAGATACACAAAAACTGCTCTAAGTCTCCAGGTCTTCATGGCCGCCACGCGGGCATCGAAGTCGGCATCCTCGGCGCTTGCGACGCCGCGCATCTCGAGGCCACCGGAGACGGCGGCATCCTCAGACTGTTCTATGAGTGATGTCCTGTGTTACTACAATAAGTACTCTTCGCCTTGATGCGTGTTGCTGCTACTGTTGCTATTATTCGTTCTCGCCATATAGACAGAACATATTCTATACATCTCTGTGTGTGTGTATATATATACACACATATACACACGCACAACGTTTCTATTTGTGTGTTTATCTGCATGTTTCTTTGAATAACTGACTTTGTTGAAGGTCTATCCCGCCCACCTGTGAGCTTTAGCTTAGCAGGTGTGAGGGGCAGCAGGGTTAAGGCTTCGGAGCTTACAGATCTGAGATCAAGCTTGGATTTATCTATCACCCTCCATTGCCTGCGAAGTTTCATCCGTCAAGCCCTAAATCACCACCCTCACGCCCAAAACTCCCACTTCTTGGCACCCACCCGGGACTCTGAACCATCCTTTTGAACTCCGATCCCTTGCAACCGTAACCTCTCTCTACCCTAGGGCCCGTCAAGCCGGGACTCGGATCTCTGAATCCTAGCGCTCCTGAGCCTTTTGCAGCGCCCCTGTGTTTAAATCCGTCCATCAGCAATCCCGGGCCCTCAACCCCTTTTTGCCACTGGACTCAAGTCTAGCCAGAACTTTCACCCCTATTTTCAGCACGGACTGAGGTGCCGCCAGGGCCCTAGACCTTAAACCCTCAACCCTAAACCTCTGAGAAGGTTCCCCAACACCCCCAAAAGGCCAGGCTGCGCTTGCCAGCACGTGCTTCTCAAGGATCGCCACGCGGTTGGCCATGACTGGACACCTGGAAGCACGATGCCCGGTCCCTTTCAATCCGGCTGAGAAGAATACTACTACCAATGACGAACAGTATTCGTAGCAGCAAGAACTCCTGAAAACCTCCCTGGAGGTTGCTCATTCTTGCTCATTAAAGGCAAAAAAAGATACCGTTAAAGCCTGACGAAGCCAAGCTGCGAGGAAGCCAGAAGCGGAGAAGGCGCGAGATTTACTTTTTGGGCTAATTGAGCCAGCATGGATCGGATTTCGGTGCTTTGGGTCTCTTCAAACGCTCGACCAAGTTCCTTGCTGCCTTAGATATGACAAAGGTTACTACAGGGGTTGCCATCTTGGCTCCTACAGGGGAAGCGCGGAAGCTCTATCTGCATGGATGAAGACAGCGAGACCGGCGGGGAATCCTGGTAAGGGAGAGAAGAGGATTTCTCTATCTATCTATCCACTATCTATCCATCTATTTTTCTATCTATCTGTGTGTGCGTGAAAGATTTATGGTGAAACGGAAACCCTTTTTGCACAAAGCTCTGTCCGTGCTGTGTTTTCTGACACCCATGTGATGCCTGTGTCTCGAGAGATGAGGCCGTTCAAAAGCGCGACACACAAGATCGAGAGAAGAAAAAGTGCCCGGCTGCTTCGAAAACTTTGGGCCGGTCGGACCAACTCCATGGTAGTTCTTCGGGGCTACAGGCTTGCAGAAGAATGCTGAATCAAGGGGGCTGGAGCTGGGGCGGCTGACCCTCTTCATTGCCGGACGACCACTGCCATCAACAGGCTAGTTGCTGCTGACTGGCCTAAACAGCCTCGCAGTTGTCACAGCGTCACATCGTACGGCGCGGTATGAAATATGATAAAGACTGTTGGCTCAGAACTGCTTCTCCGTGACGCCGGCAGACATGATGCCGGTCGAGGAAAGTCCGCCGCTCACGATGTTGCCCATCTCATCCACAATCTCAGAGCCACTCCACTTCTGGTGGGTGAGGGTCTCCACCTTGTGCTCACGCTCCTTGCGCTGGATCATCTGCACATACGCCGCCGCACCTCGCTTGGAATACTCCTTGGCGAAAAGATCGATGTTCAAAGCATCGCAGTGGAAGCCGGCCAGGGTGATGAACTGCCAGCAAAAGCCGAGCTTGGCCAGGTCCCAAATGAAGGACTCCATCTGCGCATCGGTCATGCCGGCGGTGTCCCAGTTGAAGGACGGGCTCAGGTTGTAAGCAAGCATCTGGTGGGGCACCGCTGCTCGCACCTCCTTGGCGAACTGCGTGGCCTGCGCAAGGATAGGCTTGCCGGTCTCCATCCAGATGCTGTCGGCGTAGGGGGCGAAGGCGATGGCACGCTCAATGCAGAACTCGGTGGAGCCCTTGATGCGGTAGTAGCCCTCCACGGAACGGGCGGCATCCCAGTCGAAGTAGATGTCCAAGCCCATGCCAGAAGCCGCCTTCTTCATCTGGTCCATAGACATCTTGCGGGAATCCTGCAAGAACTTGGCCGGGTCCTGGCCCTTGGCCTTCATGGCCTTGGCAACGGCATCCGGGAAGGTCATGCAGCCGGATCGCTGCTCCCAGTCCTTGTCGGTGCCCTTGCGCATGGCCTCGTAGAGGGTCTCCACACCCTTGACGGTGGCACCCTTGATGTGGGGATGGTCAATGGGATCCTTAGTTTCCAACATCTTGAGCCTCGCCAAACCCCTACACCTGCAAAGCGAAACCCTATCCCGGCTTTGCCGTTTGGGCTCGATGTTGGAGTCGATCATGGTTGCAGCCTGCACATGCAGGGAAGCCCTGGAATGAAGACACTTTGGCAGTTGAGGGACGTCTCGAGCTAACAAGCACACCGGAGCGAAAACCATACTCCTAAGGCCCTGAAATTTTAGAGCCTCAAGACAGCAGAACCCTAGCCCGAGCAAAGTAGGTATTGCCTCCGCATCTGTGCGGGCCACGATCACCAAGGGCGAGTTCAGCACGTCCGCCTGAAGGACGCGTGAAGCTTGAACCGATCATGGGCCAGGGCACTTGCAAGCTACCTCGTATTGTATCTCCTTGCTGGATGCGGGATTTGAAAAGGCTTCAGACTTAAGCAGTGTCGTGTGCCAGTCTGTGACGGCACAGCCCCTACACTTGTGCACTGTACACCTGACATCCCTAGCTGTATGAGATAGAGCGGGACTGGAAGGTCATCAGCTTTAGTCCAAAGACGTCTCGGGAAGCCTCAAGCTGTGATTCACGATTTGGGTTTAGCTATGCTCCAAGACGGTTTGGATGCTGCACGATGGGGGCCGGCGGTTCAAGGTTGTGTTTTTTTAAATTCAAGGTTGTCTAGGGTTTAGGGTTTAGGGTTCAAGGTTGTGTCGGACTTCCGCTGGCAGCTACAGCCGCCTGCAGACGGATGGCGATCAATCGCTGGATGTGCTCCTGAGCAGCAAGGGGCACAACTGACGCCGTCGATGGCTCGTCATGAAGGATGAAGGCGAAAGAGAAACTGGAAACAACCTTCAATAATATGTGTATATATATATATCTAGTTAAGAAGTAAATATAAGAAAAATGTAAATACATAGATATAACTCTAAATATAAATAAATATTTTCGTTTTTGTATTTTTTGTTTTTTACCTGTAAGCTCCATGACCAGGAGCCCCGAGCCTCGGGCCTTGAAAGCCTCCCCCGAAGCCGGGATCCCTCGGACTCCTGGGTGGAGACGAGGACCTTGCCGCCCATGTGGCCGCACTTCTTGGTGCCCGGCTTCTGGTCCTGCCACAACACCCGGGGGTCTAGGGTTTAGGGTTTAGGGTTTCAGCACTCACACTCGGACAAGCCTGGGTTTAGGGTTTAGGGTTTCGGGTTTGGGGATGGCATAGGGGTTTAGGGTTTGGGGATGGCATGCTACGGCTGCTACGGGTTCATGTAAAATCGAGGGTCTTAGGGTCGTGGCGAGTAAGATTCAGGGCTACTCGGACCAAGGAGACCCTTGGTTGCCCCAAGGGAATGCAGATGGGTCGAAGCTATCGGCTTGACAGTCTCCCTCGTCGCTTTCTCGCTCGGCCTGAGGATGGGTGAGTTGAATGGCTCAGCTTTCTTGTTCTTCGCAGGGCCAGGGCTCTGAGCAGAGAAGAAGCCTTCTGCAATTTGGCTAGGTTGGGGCTGTGATGCAACTGAGACTGTCTCGAGATCCTAACCCTCATATTCCTTAATTATGTCTCACTCCTCAATGTGGATGCCAGCGGCGCCGTTCTCAATGAACATCTTCGCCAGCTTCATGGTGGCCGTGATGCCTCCATGGCCGGTGTCCGCATCCGCAATGATGGGGTTCATGTAATCCTCAGACCCGCAGGAGGGCTAAGAAGCTCACCTCGAGACCTCAAGACTTGCCATCTGAGTACGATCTCAGGGCAGCAGCCAGATAGTATCTAGCATTCGCGTCAGGCAAACTCCCCTAAAATCCTCTAAGTACCAACTCTAACCCCAAACCCGAAACCCCGAACCCCTACGTAGACCCTAAACCCGAAACCCTTTTCACACAGGCTTGATTGGAGCTCGCCCGGCCAAAGTCCCCCCCCCAGCACATCTTGGCGACCGGGGTTCGACGACAGTGGCCTTGGCGCGATCATCCGCGGACATGCGGCGGCGCTCCTCGTACCTTGCGGCCGAGCCGAAGAGGCTTCGAGGCCGGACTCCGACCACAAAGAAAGACAGGGAGCTGCTTTCAGGGGAAGACTATAAACAGGGACCATAAGTACAAGCGAAGGCTGCCTTCTAATTGTTCAGACCTCGACATTACCGCCTGTAGAACCCACAGCACCGACGTGGCAAAGGCGCTGCTTGCGGTCATGGAAGAGCTGGGCGCGGAACAGCTGGTCCACCTTCGGAGCTCTAGAGTCTCGAGGGCATCTGACCGGGCTCACCCTAGGGACTCTCGGGCTTTGAGAGCCGAGGGGGTACCGGTTCCATGCTTGCAGGGCTTTGCAAGACTTGAATGGAAGGAACTGTTGCCAAGCTGTTCGAATGGGCGTGGTTCTACTCTCAACTCATCTGACACGCTGAACCGGCAACAAGTCGTAAACTCCTGACCTTCCAAAACACGATTGACACCAAGTATCAAGTAGCCACAGAAAAACAGCAAGCACCTAGTTGATCCCATGTGCGCCCAGCCCAGTGCTCAAGAATCAGGGCTCGCTATCAGAAGCAAGAGCCTTGCCCATGGGTTTTG